GGTCTTAAAGCGAGTGAGGGGAACCATAAGGAGATGTTGATCCTGTGAGCGGAGGTCTCGTCTGGGGTTGGAGAAATGAGACTTAATGTATTCAGGTGCTTGGCCATGAAGAACTCTGAAGGTGAGGGCCAGGACTTTGAACCAGATTCTGAATTGAACCAGAAGCCAGTGAAGTTCTGCTAGGATCGGGGAGATGTGGGTTGAATTTGCAGGTTCCAGTTAGAAGTACTGCTGCCGAGTTTTGGACAAGCTGAAGACAATTTAACTGTTTCTGGTTAAGACAGGTGATCAAGCTATTACAATAATCTAAGCCGGCAGAAATGAAGGCATGAATTACCATTTCCAAGTCTGAAGTAGACAGCAGGGCTGGAGTTTAGAGATGTCTGAAGCTGAAAGCAGCAAGTGGAATCCAGAGACTTTATGTGTTTATCTAAAGACAGATCTGAGTCAAGATTTACTCCCAAGTTGTTCACATTCTGCTCAGTATTTAATACAGCAGGAAAAATAGATTGTTAAAATATTTACGATGAGCTTCTGTTTTTTAATCCAGGAGATTATAAAAAATCCTTCATGTTATGAAAAGACCCTCTTGATTCAAGAGAAAGCTCCGTTTTTTTTTTAAAGAAAATGGCTGCTTATCAATTAATTGTTAGTCAATCTATAAGTTAAATCAACTTCAGATTAATTCATTAATCAATAACTTGCATCCCTAATTTATACAGGAATGAAATTAATTTAAATCTACTCATATTGATGTAATTAAGCATTTTAATGATTTAGCCGATTAATCAAAAAAATATTCGACAGATTAATCAATTGCAGCCCTAATTGATTTTGTATTTTGCAACTGTGTTACAAAATACAATATCACTTTATTTTTTTCTCCTCAACATAAACAACAGGTTTTAAGGACAAGCTTTAAAATTAAACTGTTTAATATTGAAAGAAAACTGTCACAAGTTTAAAAGATTTTAAAGTAAACAAGAGATGCAGGTGACAGTTTTGTTGTGGATGCATTCATTTTTAAGTAATTAATAATTGTTTAGATAAATAAGAAGTGATGGGAATAAGGCTGCAGGAGAAGAGGTGGGCTATTATTAATATACTTCTGCCCACTCCTTTAGAGTGTATGAAAAGTTGTGAATGGATGTTCTGATCTGTAATTTCTTTGTGCTCTGTACAATAACAATAAAGGTTTATCTTTTTTTGTCATCTTAAAACTGTATATTTGTAATGTTTCTCTTACGTTCTGTTATATTCAGTAAAACTTATTAAAACTTAATACATATAACTTATTAAAACAACTACAAAATGTCATCACTGTGGATTTCATTAAGATGTTTCTTTAAGTTTAAAAATAATAATACTTGTAACAAAACTAAACGATTGTTAGAATGTGGTCTTTAACACGTTTAAATATGCCAGTGGAGAACAGTTCAGTCAGATGTTTACACACCGTAGTTTGGTTCGAGTGCCTGAATGAGAGCTGCTCGTCAAACCCCGCTTCGTTTCCTCTACCACGTAGGAGCGCAGATGTTTGCAGACAGAAGTCACCATGGTCTCTGTTATCTTTACGTTCCGCTGAGAGTCGGCTGGTGATGTTAGTGATTCCTTAGTTTCTTTTGTTCTACTCCAGACAACTTGTTATCGAAAGCTAATGTTAGCACAGAACGTCAACCGAACGTAAACATACGGCAAGCTAGGACTGACAAAATATAGAAACACACCTCAGATGCGCACAAGACAGCATGGGGAAGAATCAGTCTCATGTCCTGTGAATTGATTTTCACAAATTTAAATGAAATCGATCCAAGATCAATTAAATAGATTTTTTACCCAGCCCTAATCAAGAGCACTGGCAGCTCAGAAAAAGTCCAGTTATTTGGCTGTCAGTGAGTTGGCTTCTACAGGACTGCTGAGATCCTTTCACATTGGGCCGGTCTAATCTCAATAATGACGCTGTGTTTTTTCTAATCAGTGTGCATTGCCAATACATTACACACTATTGTAATTTGTTTCCCATCCAAGCCATCTCCACTTTGCCATGCTTCTCCTCCTGCATACTTTGTCCTAGAGCTGCCATTGTAATTTATATTTGTAAAGCTCCTGTGCAAAATGATGGCTATGCCTTTTGGTGCCTGTACAACTTATAGTTTTTGAAATATTAATGTTTAATAATTTATAATGGGAGTCAATGGAGCCTTGTATTGGTCCAATGCTGCCCCCTGCTGCATCTACTCAGTACTGAACCATAGTTTAATAATATTTAATCTCAATAGTTCAGTGGTTACAATACTAATATGATTGTATTTTGATGTTTTACTATAATATTGTCCTAATATTGCTCTATTGCTGTAATATATTGTAGTTTAGTGTCAGCAATTGCATTTGCAATGTGGCCTCTTTCTGCACACATACAAACCAACCCCTGGCAGTGCCCTCTGCCACAGCTCCATTGGTCTCATTGTTAACTCTATGGGCTTTCATGTGGGAGATCAGGGTTCAAAACCCAGTTACAGCAACTTTAACAAAAATCTCTACAAACTTCATTTTGTCACACAATTATCCTCATTACAAACACCGGCTGACTTGAAAAGCACAAGTTGATAGAAAACACATTTGAACTTGGTCACATTTCATTCTGCAAGTCCACTGCTGCAGGCAATGACATGCTACAAGGCAATGCACACTTGTTTTTACATTGTAAAAACCCATGTTGTTCTTCCTGTGGTCTGCATTCTGAAGGCTTATGATCAAAATATAACCACACAACTGGCTGGAGCTTTCTTAAAGAGTGTAGGAGGGCCTCTGCTGATGCTGTCAGGATGGGAGTGAGCTGGATCTATTTGACAGTCTTGGAAAAGTCAAAATCCTTGTGAATGAAAAACAGAAGCTGTTGGTAGAATTCATCCTAGATATTTGTGTTAGTCATCTTTAATGTGCATGAGGAAAACTCTTGATAGACTCAACCTGACAACAGTGTAAGGTTGGACATTAATGGTGTGAATGCCTATATGCCATTCACACCATTGAGATCATTTTTTTCTTCTGTATTGTTTTCGGCACTTTTCTCGTTCCACAATTTTTGTGCTACTTCAACCATTCATATATCAAAACGTTCAGCTCTTTCGTGCAATGCCGGCTATGACTTTTGGTATTTCAGCTATTTTTACTTTGTTTTATTTCAACTTTTTAGCCACTTTTGTTCCCATTGACTTTGAATGGGGCTATTTTCAACAACCTTAAAATCCTTCAAATAGTTTCTAAATCTTTACTAGACCTTACATAATTTGTTCTGATTAGGCTCTATTTTACTGTCTTGTGCAAATTTTAGCTACTTTTTTGCTAATTTTTGCTTTTTCTGCTATTTTATCTAAAAATTCTACTTCTTTCTGCTATTCTGCTTTTTTCTGCTTTGTTATACTTTTTCTGCTAATTTGTGCTATTTGTGCTTCTTACAGTTGCTTTCTTCCATATTCAGCTATTTGCTACAAATTTAGCTAAATTTTAGCTGTTATTAGCCACAGTTAGCTTTCAATGCTAATTACATATTTTTCTGGAGCTATTTCAACTGAATTCGGCTAAATTCAGCAAACTTTTGCTCCTTATGCATCCTTATGCTAATTAAAATGTTTCCAGCTACCTTTTAGCTGTTTTACTAAAAACTTCKGCTGTTTTACCTGTTTTACTTCAAATGATCACTTTTTAGTAGTTTTACATTTTTTTCTGCTAATTTTGAATTTGTTACATCCATTTCACCATCTGTGTGCAACTTTCAACTTGAGTCTGCTACCTTTAGCGTTTTTATGCTAACTTTAGCTTTTTGCTGCTAAATCAGCTAAAATTTAACTTCATTCTGCAATTCTTCTGTGTTTTTCTGCTTTGATATACTTTTTTCTGCTAATTTATGCTGTTTATGCTTCATACGGTTGCTTTCTGCTAAATTCAGCTATTTTAGCCTTAAGTTTTTTGCTTTTTATCCTATTTCAGCTATATTTTTGCTCCTTTTTACTGTTTTTCCTCCTTTTTTTTTTTTGCTTCTTTCAGCTTTTCAAATTTAACTTACAATAATACTTTTGCTAGACATGTTCAGTTCAATTTCAGCTTCTTCAGCAGTTTTCAGCTTACGTTTTCAGCAACAGGCATTCATACTTGCATTTTTGCAGGAAATGCAATTTCTCTAGTTGTTTATAATGTTTCACAGAGTCACAATAAATGATTATCTCTTTAAAATCCAATGGTAAATGGACTGTACTTATAGCACCTTTCTATCCATCCAGGACACTCAAAGCTCTTCACACTACAATCTGTGTCCTCATTTATCCATTCACACAGCACTCTGTTAGGTCTCTACAGAGATAACATGTACAATCATCTATGGAGCCTCATCAGTGCCAATCACATTCATACACTGATGGGACACATCAGAGGCATTAGGGCTGAAGTGTCTTGCCCAAGGACACAGCAACTGAGACAGCTGGATAGGGGATTGAACCGGTGACCTACCAGTTCCAGGAGGACTCCCCTAACCACTCCAAAATCTAACACATGTTTAGTCATGCTGCCATGGTGAATACGTGAAATTTTTACAATATAATTTTTCTGATTCAGTTTTTCTAATTTTTTCTGTGACAACAGAAACTTGGTGGCAGCATGCGTCTGTGGAAACGCGTCTTCGCTGTGCTCCATCACCACTCGCTCTTTCTTTACAAAGACAAGCGAGAGGCTGTGCTCCACGGTGCAGGGGCAGGGCCCTGCCTGGATGAACATCCACCAATCAGCATCTGGGGCTGCCTGATTGACATCGCCTACAGTGAAACCAAGAGAAAGCACACGCTGAGGCTGACCACGCAGGACTTCTGCGAGTACCTGCTGCAGGCCGAGGACAGAGACGACATGCTGGCCTGGATCAGGGTCATCAGAGAGGGCAGCAAAACCGATAACGAGGTTACGAATTATGTTCACTCAGTGGTCCACATGTTCTCCAAACACACACTGATCTCATCTGGCACTTCTCTCTTAGGAGGTTGGATTCTCCAGGCAAGCTCTCATCAACAAGAAGCTGAAGGACTACAGGAAGCAAAGGTCAGCATTAAAACTACGTGCTGTTTCAACAAAAAACAAATGTTGTGAGGCTTTCATTGTGTTTGTATGTGCAGCCTGACAGGAAACAAGCCAGATTCATCCACAAGAGGCCATCGCATGATCCCGCCCTTCCTTCTGGTGAAAACTGACAACACGCTGATGAACAGAGCCTTGAGATCTGGTGGGTGTTAGGGCACCTCTGGGTTCACACCAAACCGTTTTAAGCAGCAGGAGCAGCAGGTTTACATGAAAAGTCTATGCTGGACACACATCTAGGAGCAGCGCAGCGTTTAACGTGGCACAGTGTGAAGCGTAGGTGCAGTTAGTGCGTTGATTAGGAGCATCTAAGGCAGGGGTGTCAAACTCCAGTCCTCGAGGGCCGCTATCCTGCATGTTTTAGAGGTTTTCTTGCTCCAACACACCTGATTTTGATCGCTGGGTGATTAACAGGCTTCTGCCCAATTTGAAGAGTTAATTCAATCACTGAATCAGGTGTGTTGGAGCTGGAAAACCTCTAAAACATGCAGGATAGCGGCCCTCGAGGACTGGAGTTTGACACCCCTGATCTAAGGCCAGCATCACACTACAAGAAAATCAGGCTGATTTTTTCCCTTCCGACAATCTTAAGGAAGTCCAGATTATCATGATGGCTCTAAAGATAATCTGAGCAGATATTCCTGCCGTGGGTGGTGAGTTGAGAGTGATCTAATCGTCTCAGAAGGACGTCGGGACCGCTCTGACCTCCAATCAGGGATATTCAACATGTTAGATTTTTTGGCCTGATATCACAGTGTGTGTAGTGTTCACCTGAGCTCTCAGCCTGTTGAATGAGACATGTAGCCAATCAGAAAGAGAGGTGACGTAAACAAAAACTGTCATGACTCAGCAGAAAGTCTGCTGGATGTTAAAAGTCCTGGATTTGTTTTTCCTCTGGTAAAAATAGTCCACAAATGATCAACATTGTTTCTTTCTCATCACAAATGTTTATTTACTCTGAACTCACGTCTCTCTGGAGGTCACGTGAGATTTTTCCTTGGACTTCTGAATTCTCGCGAGATTTCAGGAAGTCTCACGTGATTTAATATCTGACATGTTCATGAATGAAATATTTTTTGGTGTGTGGTGTGTTGTCTCTTGCTGTGTGTTGGACACCACACACTGTAGGACCAAACCTGGTAGATCCATGATGTTTTATCCTCATGTGTGGGCTCTATCAGTCTTTGAAAATCGGCCGACTGGTTTAAAATCTTGTAGTGTGACTCAGCCTTAACTGGTCTGTAGGAGCCAGAACACTTAACGGTTTGTAGGAGATCAAATACTTATTTCTCTCTGCAAAATGCAAGTAAATATATGTAATTTATACAATGTAATTTTCTGGATTTTTTTATATTCTGTCTCTCACTGTTAAAATCAACCTATCTTTAAAATGATAGACTGTTCATGTAGGTGGGCGTACTTGCAAAATCAGCAAGGGATTGAATTCTTATTTCCTCCACTGTAAACCCCTTTGATAAAATTTAATTATGCATTAGATAAGTATGCATCTATGCCATATGAGCCATTTCTATATTTGTGTAAAAGAAATATTGAAGCCAACCTCATTCTGTAAATGATTGGAATGAAAATAAAATTAGACCAGTTTGTTGGATGTCTCATTGTGACTTTTTAAACTTCTGCTAAAGGTAACTCATTATTCATATTATTTTGTCATTTGTGTTGTTCTTGTACAGCACTTTGGTACAGCTTTATGCATGTTGTAAAGTGCTATATAAATAAATTTGACATTGACATTCTTTTAATTAAAGTAAAACTGACATATTTTTGTTTATTAACTCATGTTACAGTAATCTTTGATATGTATGTTTGTTTTTTTCTTCAGCAACCTGCCTCAAACATATGAAAAAATTTAATTTGCTGGTGGTTTGCAGAGAAAGCTCACACTATGTTTGGATGTTGGATTAATGAAGTCAATGATCGATATGTGTTGCTCCTTGTATTGTGTCATTCTGCTGCACAAGTATTTTCACATGCTGCGTACAGTTGAACACAAACACTAGCACTAGTGTTTTCTGTTGTGGGTATGAATATAAATATTTTTCATTTCCATGTTATTTTTAACAGAACTACAACGACTCAGAGGAACTAAAGGGTTTGAGACCCTCGAGCCATGTGTTGCAGACCTCTGGTCTAATGAGTGCATTGAACTAGTTTGTGTGTGTGTGTTTGCTCTCAGAGGACAAGGCACTGTGGGGCATCAACATCATGAAGAAGAACAAGAAAGCAGACAGTCCTAAAGCCTTTGGAGTCAGACTGGAGGACTGTCAGCCAGCTGTTCACCATAAAGTAAGTCCAGCAGAGACGTGAGCTGCACCACTGGTAACACTGGTGATGCTGTCTGGTCGGGCTGAGACAGCAGCATGTATCGTAACAATCACAGTGGTTGCATTTTCCTTCATCTTCTTGCTTCACTCTGAACTTCAGAAAAAATCCGTGCAACAAATGTACTTCAATAATAATACAACGATGATAAACAGTTAATATAAAACTGGTCCTAATCGTCACGTCTTCATTCCAAAAGGGTGCTGAAGCAGATTTAATTGTAAATGTGGGGCAGCTGCCGAGGTGGGTATGATGTGGGTGGAGCTCTGCTATAAACTAATGTCTCTGACCCAGAATGCAGTTTTACAAGCTGTGCACATGAAAATAATGCTTTTCAGAAACTAACCATTCAAAATGTGGCCACACAGCCTGCTGGTAGCAAACACAACATTTAGTTAGAGCAGTTAAAAATGTTCAGTTGGTTTTCACATGTTAAAGAAGTTGCAGCACACTTAGACCTCACCTTTCTACTGCCTCTATAAATGAACTGATCAACACTAAGGCCTGTGCAGACGCCACCTGCAGGGGAACAGTGGAAGCGCAGTCATGTGGTTGTTCAGCGTTCGATTTGGCACACACCTTTCATAGTTCTTGAGACACCTGACGCTGAGCTCCTGGGAGACCCCTCCCACTGCAGGATATGTCACTGCAGGGGGTTCTGTCCCAGTGAATGCTCCACACTTCTCTGCAGATGGATTTCTCCGTGCAAAACGTCTTCTCCATTCATGAGGTTTTTTTTAAATCTTTATAAATGTCTGCTTCTGGTTACAACAGTCACATTCTGGGAGTGAGTAGTTGAAGCAAACTGTAGCGTCTGAGCGCTTTTAGCATAAACAAACATGCCTACGAACTTTAGACCAGTCAAACAATGCTTTGTTCAGGGGGTAGCGGTGCGTGACTGCTCTTCTTCTGAATAAATGAAAACTATTTAACACTGTTGTTTACACTTAAATTAAAAATATTTGACCAAAGGACAACCGGAGCAGGACTAGAGAGAGATGAATATGATTTAGATTTTTATTTCTGTGTCTGTATACGATCCACATGAGACACGACATTAACAGTAGTTATTTCATCCCTAGGCTTTAGCAGGTCTGACGCTGCTAAAAATGACATTTTTTTCTGGATCTCTGAGAGCAGGACTTCAATCTGCAAACTCGTAAAGTTCCATTGTTAACAAGAGACAGCTTTCCCCTCCAATGCTCAAGAAAATGATGATGAAATTATAATGACATATATTGCTACAGAACGTAGTGTGTTTAGACGGCTCTCTCCTCTTTATTTAGACAATGTTGACAACTGAACTTGTAACATTATTTGCGATTAGCACTACTCAATTCTAAATTTACAAAGCGTAAATCCGCACATCATTTGAAGAAAGTATTAAAACCCCTAAAGCGCAAAAAAGAAATTTAGGCTGCAATTAGCACTTTTTTTAATGCAAACTAGTGCCCACCACTGCAGTTTTGTGAGAATATGAAATTTAACCAGAGACAAAGTTAGATGTCACAGAGGCACACATGGAGGTAACCGGACAGGTGATTGACAGGAGTGACTCTGAACGCAGTGTGCACATGTGCAGGACTTCTAATGCAGGAGTAAAAACCAAAAAAAAAAAAAAAAAAAAAAAATAGGTGAGTGGTTCATCCGAACAGGCCAGTCCAAAAGCACTGGTACATTGGTTCTTCCTTAAAAAGTGTGTGTGCATTTGTGTGTCTGTGGTTTTTAGTGTGAGACATACAAAGTGTGGCATGGGCACACGAAGTATGGGTGTCTTGCACTCCTGAAATGTTAGAAACACTCCCGAAGTGTGTGTGTCTCACTCTCCTGAAATGTTAGACACACTCCCGAAGTGTGTGTGTCTCACACTCCTGAAATGTTAGACACACTCCCGAAGTGTGTGTGTCTCACACTCCTGAAATGTTAGACACACTCCCGAAGTGTGTCTCACACTCCTGAAATGTTAGACACACTCCAGAAGTGTGAGACACACTCCTGAAGTGTGTGTGTCACACTCCTGAAATGTTAGACACACTCCAGAAGTGTGAGACACACTCCTGAAGTGTGTCTCACACTCCTGAAATGCTAGACACCCTTCCGAAGTGTACAATCCTGAAATGTTAGACACACTCCCGAAGTGTGATACACACTCCAGAAGTGTGAGACACACTCCCGAAGTATGTGTGTCTCACACTCCTGAAATGCTAGACACCCTTCCGAAGTGTACAATCCTGAAATGTTAGACACACTCCCGAAGTGTGAGACACACTCCCGAAGTGTGAGACACACTCCCGAAGTGTGAGACACACTCCCGAAGTGTGTGTGTCTCACACTCCTGAAATGTTAGACACACTCCCAAAGTGTTAGACACACTCCTGAAGTGTGTGTGTCTCACACTCCTCAAATGTTAGACACACTTCCGAAGTGTGACACACACTCCAGAAGTGTGAGACACACTCCCGAAGTGTGACACACACTTCAGAAGTGTGAGACACACTTCCAAAGTGTGTGTTTTGCACTCCCGAAATGTTAGACACACTCCCGAAGTGTGTGTGTCTCACGGCCAGTGTGTGAGACTTGAGAGCCCTGACTATGATAATAAAACTAACAGCTGAACACGTAAAGAATCAAACTGTTGCAGGTGTCCAGTCAGAGTCCAAAATCTCATCCTGGCAGATTTCTTAAGGTCCCACAACATTTTAGTGTCTGCAAACCTCAATGAACTGAGGCAACATTGTTAAGAAGATTGGGAAAGCCCAGTTAGAACTGCTGGATCAGGCTCTGTAGCCAGGTCTTATACAGCTTCTGCAGTTTGGTTTAGATTGTGATGAATCATCAGTGACCCTGTCTTCTCCCATCCCACCTCACAGTTCGTCCCTCTGATAGTGGAGATGTGTTGTGGTGTTGTGGAAGCCATTGGTCTGGAGTACACTGGTATTTACCGTGTACCAGGGAACAACGCCATGGTGTCCAACCTACAGGAGCACCTCAACAAGGGCATGGACATTAACTCTGCAGAGGAGGTGTGTAGCGTGGTCCCAGCCCAATTTGGAATGTATTTCTGTAACCCTGGTTTTAGACATGTACCATCTCATCTCTCCACAGAGGTGCCAGGATCTGAACGTGATCAGCAGCCTGCTCAAATCCTTCTTTAGAAAGCTGCCAGAGCCTCTGTTTACTGATGGTGAGTGAGTGCAGATGTTTACTGATGTGAGTGCAGATGTTCACTGATGGAAAACACCAGGCACCATTACTGTCTGAGGATTCTGTTCTATCTTTATCAAACCAAACAATGTCTTCATCTCTTCTGACATCAACATCTTAGTTAAAAGCACTGCATAGTTTTGTAATGACAGCTAACATTAAAGCACGATTCTACCTGCAGACAAGTACAGTGAGTTTATTGATGCCAACCGAATCGAGGATTCAGAGGACCGACTAAAGACCATGAAGAAACTGGTATGTTCAAACACATCTACCTAAACCTTAGCTGAGTTTTGAAAGTGAACTCTTTTTAATACACATACCTGTAGCTCCACGACCTCCCAGATCACTATTATCACACCCTGAGGTTCCTGGTGGGCCACCTGAAGAGAGTGGCCGACCACTCTGAGAAGAACAAGGTGGGTCAGCTGCAGCCTCTTCACCACATCACATCATGGAAACACTGGTCAGTCATGGAGCATTCATTCTGCTTCCAGATGGAGCCACGAAATCTAGCTTTGGTTTTTGGTCCCACGTTGGTGAGGACATCAGAGGACAACATGATTGACATGGTCACTCACATGCCTGATCGATACAAGATAGTGGAGACCCTCATCGTCCATGTAAGACATTTCTGCAGAGCCTCTGCTGAGTTGTAACCAGGCTGTGGTAGATCTGTTAACCTGGTGTGTGTTGGACTCAACAGCACGACTGGTTCTTCAGTGACGGACAGCTTCAGAGGGACGGGACGGTAGGTTGTCCACAGTCCACTTGTCCCTGGATGTCCCCACGTGTCCTGTTCCTCACTGGTTTGGGTTCATGTTTGTGTAGACACCCGAGGACAAGCAGAGCCTGCAGCCTGAACCCAACATTGATCATCTGCTGACCAACATCGGCAGGCCAGGCATGCCTGGGGACACATCAGGTGAGGGGGGGAGGGGCCTCTGTGTGTGTGTGTGTGTGTGTGTGTGTGTGTGTGTGTGTGTGTGTGTGTGTTGTGGTGGGGGCATTCTAATGCCATAATATACTGTTATACAAGAAAAGTACAGCTGGTATTAAAGGAAAAAAAATTGTATAGGTCCTCTGGACGGGTTCTTCTTTAATGAAACGTTTCGTCTCTCTTCCAAGAGACTTCTTCAGTCTGAGAG